GCGTGCGGAACGACGGCGCTGGCGCTGGCGCTGTCAGAGCGAAGGGCGTGGGCCCGGGCTCCCCGCGCGGCCACTTTCCTGTCTGCTGTCAGCGGGGACGAGTGACCTAGCGCGGGCCTGCGCCGCACAGTCGCAGACACAGCCTCTCCGTAGCTAAATTCCCGTTAGGTGTATGGTGCACTCTGGGTGTTTAGGTGGAGTCCATCTCCCATCTTTCTTTTCGGAAAATGTAAGTTAGACACAATGATTGTATGATAATCATTACCCATAGCCGAATTATTACGAAAAGACTGCTAGTCAGTGTTAGTATTCTACCTGATTAGTTTCCATTAAAAAGTTTTTGTGTGCTGGGCATTGAAACCGGGGCCTCCTGCAGGCCAGTCTTGGTCTTCACTGTCCTACTATGCCACGCTTCTAGCTCAGTGAAAAGCTTCTTGAGTAGGGATATACTCTTCAGTCTGCCATGTCGATAGTGATCATAGACACAGTGTATGCTTGGTTTACAACGAGAATTGAGGGCATTCAGGTTCGATAACAGCATACCAAGTTTCTTGAAATAGTGAACTCAGTTCCTAATTATAATATATAAAAAATAGCAATGTTCAAAAAGCTTGCATAACACAAAAACTTAAATGCTGTAGTCCAAGTAATTTTTCATTTTTCATTTTTATATTTATTTATTTATTGAAGTACCAGGGATCAAACTCGGGACCTTACACTTGTGAGGCAGGCGGCGGAACCACCTAGTTAAATCCCTGGACACCCCCCATTTAGTAGTTTTAAAATCTAGAAATATATAAAATTACTTGGGGGCCGGAGATTTAGCTGTGGTTTCGCCGCCTGCCTCGAAAGCGTAAGGTCCAGAGTTTGATCCCTGGTAAAAATAAAATTTCTAAACGGTAGTAGGCAGATAGTAATTTTAGAGTTGGAAGAGACATGAGAAATTACTAATTCCTTTTATTTTTTTATTGTTATTTTTTGGTACTGGGGATCGAACTCGGGTCCTTGTACTTGCAAGGCAGACAGCAGCACTGTTGAGTTAAATCCCGGGCCCACTAACTCCTTTTAAAGATTGAGAGACTTAAATTATGCTAAGTAAAATGGTGCTGCACTCAACCATTTGATGGGATGAGTTAGATGCTTTGTTTTTGCTAACAACCCAGGGGTACTCTACCACTGATCTGTATCCCTAGCCTTTTTATACTTTATTTTGAGGTGGGATTTGACTAAACCGCCCACCCTGGCCTCATCTTGTGCCCCTACTGCCTCATGCAGGGTGCTGCTCATCAGAGACCACCAGGGCCCACCAGAAATTCAGGCTAATAAAAACCCTTTAGCATGGAACTATTTAACAGACACCCAGTAAGCTTCATCTTCTTGCTGTTTTTGCTCGGTTTTCTTTGGGTTTTATTTTCTGCATATATAAACATTACTCACAGAAGGGGTCCAAAAGCTTCCCTGAGCTTGTTCCTGGCATTAAAAACACTTAGGCCCACTGATGTAGAATGTGCCATGCTAGGCATAGGTACAGGGCCTTATGGGAAGACAAGCGAGCCGGAGGACAGGGTCGAGAGGTGCACTTGTGTCCTGAGAAGAGAATGCTATAGCAGTCTCTCAGACGTGGTGACTCGCTGCCTGCCTGGTGGTAAGAGGTAGTGGGAGAGAGGTGTGCACTGGAAAGGGATAGCAGAGCACATGCTTATGGGATATGGAGAGCTGTGAGACAAGTCTGCTCAGCTGTGTGACGGAATTGAATTTTATCTTTATTAGATTTCACCGTTTCTTGGATGTCAACAGCCACAAGATAGAAAAGACAATAGATGGGTAAGTCAGTTCGGTATGTAAGGGCGTAATCAGAAATAAGTGTTTTTTTTGTTTGTTTGTTTGTTTGTTTTTCTGGTACTGGGGATTGAACTCGGCACCTTGTTCTTGCAAAGCAGGCAGTGGCACCACTAAGCTAAACCCCAGGCCCAAGTGTATTTTCTTAAAGTTTTTCTTTTTCGTCTTTTGAGACAGGGTCTCACTTATATAGTTGAGACTGACCTGGAACTCACTATGTAGCCCAGGCTGGTCTCAAACTCACAGTGATCCTCCTGCCTCAGCCTCCCAAGTGCTGGGATTACAGATGTGCGCCACCACGCCTGGCTTAAAGATGTTTTTATTCTCATAGCTTTCTAACTATCAACTTTTTTTTTTGTATTTTAGAATTTATGAAAAATTCATCATTCATTCTGATCTCAGCAAAGCCGCCAGTTGGAAGAAATTAACTGAGGAATTTCTGAATGCATCACTGCCCAGCATAGAGGACATAAAGGTATGCCTTCAATTTTGCGACCTTCGTGTATTGTATGGTCTCTAATCTGACTGTTGTCAGCTTGCCTCTGTTAGTGTTTAATACTCACCCTCTTTTAGTGTTGCCCACTGGCTAGCGCAGGGTCTCCTGGAATTACTGCAGTACTGCCATCAAACTGAGTGCTCCAGATTTGTTACAAGACATCATGTTCTTGTTTACATACTATCTTCTTACTGAAATCTACTGTCCCTAGAGAGATCAAACTTGAACAAACAAATACACTGTAGGCAATGAAAACGTCAACATACAAAAACATGACTTTTCATTAAATAGAAAGGAGTGATATATGAGAATCTGTAAATTATAACTAAAAAGTAGTGAGACTTGAAAATTACTGGCAATTGGTTTCTAGTAGTCAAAACTTAAGTTTATGAAAAAAACTCCTTCTCGGGGCCAGGGGTGTAGCTCAGTGGCACTGCACCTGCCTGGCAAAGGCAAAGTCCCGAGTTTGATCCTTGGTACCACCAAAAAAAAAAAAAAAATCACTATTATTCTGTAAAATAAATGCCCCCTAGTACTGAGATAATATTTTTCACTTTCAACTGTATATATTCAGTATTTGTACTGAATGCAAATATATATAATCTTTTTTTTTTTTTTGGTACCAGGGATCAAACTCGGGATCTTGCCCTTGCAAAGTAGGTGACAGAACCACTGAGCTAAATCAATCCCTGGCCCTGTATATAATCTTTGTAGAAGTTATTTTAGCATTCTTCAGAATTCTAAATGCAAATATTCTTTGGCTTGGTATTTCATTTACATTGGACCCTTGATTTATGAACTCATTGTATTCTCGAGGGCTGGTTGTAACTCAAGTTGGCCAGTTGAAGGCTCAGGCTCCTTCTACACAGCCTTCAATGTCTCTCTCCCATACACAGGCAGATCTCAGTCCCTAGACAAACAATAAACTGTGATTTCTCAGCCCACACAGGAAAGGGTGTTGTAATGTTCCTTCCAGAACTCTTTTAAGGGTGAAGTTTGTGTCTGAGACAATCTGAAAGTACAAGTGGCCAGCATTCAGGTCAAAACTCAAGACTTTGCTTTGAAGTTAAACTAGAATTCTGGTCGTAACCCATGTTTTTGATATGTCAGGCTGGTTGTAACTTGAAGGTCTACTGTATTAGGAATTTATCAAACAGAGAAACTGTCATGATACAACCTTAGTTTGTGATAGCAAAACATTGGAAAAAATTAAATCTTCTAATAGGAAACTAGTTAAGTAAAATATATCTGTGTTAAACCACGGGGCATGTTAAACTTCATGATGCATATTGCCACAGGAGAATTTTTTTTTTTTTTTTTTGTACCAGCCATCCAGCTCAGGACCTTGAGCTTGTGAGGCAGGCTTGGTGCCACTGAGCTAACTCCCCAGCCCAATAATCCATCTTTAAATAATTATATCATACTCTAAAATATTATAGTTGTTTGGGGAATAAAAACTGTCTTCCAGTTAGGTATCTTGTTAGAAATACAGAGCTCAAACACTTGAACAATGAAAAACAAAGAAACAAACAAAAAATGGGGACATAGCTGTCATAAGGTTCTCTTTCATTACTTAATCTAGTTTAGAAAGTACTTGCAACCTCAGTGATTCATATTCTTCATTTTTTGTTTTAAAGACAGATGCACATTATTCTATTCTGTCACTCCTTCTGTGTCTTTCTGATTCTCCTTCAAACAGCAATTATGAGGAAACACCAAGAGATAAAGAAGTGGGTATGTTACCAGTTTTGCGTATGTAAAATTGTAGTATTACTTAATTACTGATGTTGAGATTTAATTAAAAGTAAAAATCTATGAAATTTAAGCACTTCTGTTGTTTTGGATGCCATTACAAAATTTCATTTAAAATAACACGAGTTTGCAAGTTTACTTGTCCCTGCCGGCTTGTACCCGTGATGTAAGCATAACTGTGCCATGCTGCCCGATGGGACGGTCACACGTGTACCAGTGGTTTGGAGCAGTCTGGCAGCAAGGCATGACTTACGGGCCTGTCGTGGTCATGTTAAACAACCTTCATTACATAACGATAAAAACTGCTTTTTATTTTTTTTTTCAGCTTTAATTGAGTTTATTGGTACATTTTAGGTATACAGTATAGTTACATTCATTGTGGGGATCTTGTACCTCTACATGACAAGTCTTGGTTCTCATTTTTTTCCCCTTGTCCCTGCCCTCCCTTCACCCCCTCCTCCCCTCCCCATTTTTTCTTTTTTGGTACCAGGGATTGAACTTGGGTCCTTGCGCTTGCAAGGCAGGTCACCGAACCACTGAGCTCAATCCCTGGCCCAAAACTGCTTTTTAGAGTGAATTAAAGTGTAACATCTCTAGAATATTGAACTTTCAAATGTTTTGATATTTTAAACTTTTTTTCCCTGAGTATATTTTACTTTGAGTTTTGTGTAGAATTTTTTCCTGTAGTTTTGGGATTTTTTTTCCCCCACATATTTATGATAAAGCTAATGAGGTTCTCCTGTTATGTTTTAGAAAAAGAAGATGATTTTGACTGGGGAAAATACTTGATGGAAGGTGAAGAAATTGACCTTGGTCCAAATATAGACACACCAGTAAGTGGGAGTGGTTATGTTATTGAAAATATAAATACATGCCTGGATGCTGTAGATTATTTTAATGGGCCCTTCTTCCCTAGAACATTCTCCCTAAAACAGGAATGCTCTTTCCTAAGCTAGAATAGTTTACTGTGGAAGACTTACTAAGACTACTAGGAAGTTGAATGGGGTCAACACAAGTATCCCTTAAACAGAGATGGTCTTGGGAATATTAGGACCCAAAATCATCTCATTCCCGTAATAGGTACTTTCACGAGATGTAAGGAAAAATTTCATTTGGCTTTTACTTTTCTGTGTGTGTTGCCTCAAGTTTTTGCTTTTCTTCTTAAACTGTCTTTAATTTTTAAACCTAAACAGCTCTAATCATTATACTCTCTAAGAGCAAACTGTGTTTCCTTTGTAAATCAGAACTGGTCTGAAGACAGTGAAGATGAAGACGCTCAACAGCCCTTAAGCAGAGAGGACTCCGGGATCCAGGTGGACAGGACCCCACTAGAAGAACAAGATCAGAACAGAAAACTGGGCCTGCACGTCAGCTGGAAAGGTCTGTGGGGTGCAGTCAGATGTGTTTTCTCCCAAGAGTGCCCTGAAAGAAGGGCAGGTCTGAGACCTGTTCCATTGTTTAGGATAGCAGCATGGTAAATTCCCTTGATTGAGCTGAAATTTTGATTGGGATTTCAGTGAACTTATACATTTAACTTGAGGAGTATTGGGCCGGGGATTTAACTCAGTGGTTCTGCTGCCTGCCTTGCAAGCACAAGAACCGGAGTTCGATCATCAGTACCCACCCACCCCCCCAAAAAAAGAAAAAGAAACTGAATCTAACTTGAGTATTGATATCCTTATCACAATGAAATCTACACTTCCTCCACTTCTCTTTATCTTTTACTAGATTTTGGAAATTTTCTTTTTGAAGAGCTCAAGTAGTCAGGCGCAATGGTCTGTGTCCATAATTCCAGCAATCTGCGAGGCTGAGGCAAAAGGATCACAACTTTGAGCCCAGCCCAGGCAATTTAGTAACTTAGCAAGACCTTGTCTCCCAAAAGAAGTCTAAAAAGGGGGGTCTTCAAGGAGCATCTGTTAATTTCTACATGTTATAGTTTTTACTGTTATGGATGAAATAGGGTAAGCCTCAGCAGTGGGAGGGCCCTGGACTGGTCTTATCCCAAGAGGGCTGCCCCTGAACTCCCTCCGCTAATTGTGATGGTTATTTGTTACCAGTTTTGAGTAGGTGGCCTTTATCAAATTAAGACAATTTTCTTATATTCATTTTTTTCTAGAACTCTAATGTAAATCAGTGTTGAACTTTATCAAATGCTATTCTTTTCAGAGAGGTAATTTTGCAATTTTTCTTTATCCTGTTAACTACGTTAATAAATTCTCTGATATTCAGTCATCTTTGAATCTCTGAGCTAAACTTCTTTGATCATTCTGTTTTTAGTACATTATTAGATTGGGTTTACTTTTTTTTCATTATTACATGTTTACCATACATAATGATTACTTTCATTGTGGGGAGTTGGTACTACATGTCTTAATTTTTTTATTCCCCCTCCATTGGCTACTTTTTTTTTTTTGGTGGTACTGGGGATCAAACTCAGAGCCTTGCACTTGCAAGTCAAGCAGCAAAACCACTGAGCTAAATCCCCAGCCCTGGCTACTTTTTAATGTAGGGTTTTTCATCTTTATTCTTGATTAATTACTTATCACATCTTTATCTGATTTTACCACCACAGATACAGTAGCCTTATAAAATGTCAGCTTTTCCTTTTTTCTGGAACAACATATATAAAATCCGGATTATCTTATCCTTGCAAAGGTTTTGGGATGGGGGTGGTTAGCAAGGTCTTTGGTTACTATTTTGGTTTGAATAGTTATTGAATTGTTCAGATGTACCATTTGTATTGTTTATTCAAAATTCATTTTAAATTGAGCAATTGCTTTTAATTAAATATTGTGTATGTCTTTATATATGCCCCCCTTTGTTTGTTTGTTTTGTTTTGTTTTGTTTTTTGAGACAGGGTCTCACTATATTGTTGAGACTGACCTGGAACTCACTATGTAGCCCAGGCTGGTCTCGAACACACATCCTGCCTCAGCCTCCCGATTGCTGGGATTACAGGTGTGTGCCACCACACCCTGCCTATATATGCCTTTTAAGTGAAAAACTGTATATGCCTTTAGATGAGTAACTCTTAAGTATGACTCCTGAGTATGTTAAGTAGCTATGAAGAGCCATGTTCAGCTGTACATTTGTGTGAAGGTAGAAGTCCAGGCCCTGTATCTTTTTGCTAGCTGTCATAGCTCAGACCCGTTAATTTTCCTCCCAGAAGATGAGCCCGACAGCCGGAGCTGGCTGGAGCAGCATGTGGTCCGTCTGTACTGGACATCCAGATCCTCCAGGAGTCCACACAGTTTGCATTTGCACTCCAACCTAGCTGCTGTCTGGTGAGAAGCTAACTTTTTATTTAGTGTAATGATGGAAGAATCTTTGACGTTTCAATATTTGCCTTTGATTTGTGATTTAAATCAAGTACTTCCTGAAATTTAAACTTGTTTGGTATTGTTGATTTTTTTGGTACCTGGGATCAAACTCAGGACCTTATGCTTGCAAGGCAGGCGCTGGAACCACTGGGCTAAATCCCCGGTCCTGGTATTGTTGATTTTAAACAACTGTAAATGTACACTTTTTAACTACTAAAATCATGAAATTATTATCTGAGGGCCAGGGATTTAGCTGAGTGGCACTGCACCTGCCTCACAAGTGCAAGGTCCTCAAATTATAATTTGATTATACTCTGTTTTGATTTTTTATTGTTATTTTCAATGTGAATGAATTGGTATATATTAGGCCACTCTTTCTGTTTTAGTGAAGTTATTACAATATACTGTTTTATTTTTTGTTTGTTTTGTTTTTCTGGGTAGTGGGGATCGAACTCAGATCCTTGCACTTGAAAGGCAAGCAGCGGAACCACTGAGCTAAATCCCTGGCTACAGTGCACTGTTTTAAAACAGCACATTACATAGTTTTAAACTTTTGCCTAAATAAACAGTAAACCTTACGATTGGAGTTGCTTGAAAAAATACTTCACTGAGACAATTCAATGCATGTGTGGAAAGTGAACATGGAGGCTGTTTAGTAAAGTGTGAGAGTTAAGGCATTCGTTGCCTTCTTGCTGATTACTTGTTAGGTTAGCACAGGGTCACCTGTGTTCGTGGCCCACTTTCCTGCTGACCTTTGATGTTTGCTGTCTCCTAGGGACCAACACCTGTACAGCAGTGACCCATTGTACGTTCCGGACGACAGGGTTGTGGTCACTGAGACCCAGGTTATCCGGGAGACTCTGTGGTAAGACCGAGCGAGAATCTAACTGACAGTCGGCAAGGCTTTAGGAGTGAGAAGTGGAACTGCTTTTGTAACGTGTTCAAGGGTCCTCCACATGCAAATAGTGTAGTGGTTAGGGTGAAGTTCAGACTTCAGGTTGGACTGTGCAGATTGGGAGACTTTTTTATATATTCACTTCTTTCCGTTTTAAGTAATTTGGTTTATGATTTTATTGAATTACACCATCACCTTTTTAATGTCTGAGTTCACAGCAAGCTTTGATGCTGGCTGTTTTTACCAGATGGTTCATCCATAAGAATCATCGTGCCAGAGCCTGAGGCTGAGGAAATACAGCATGCAGCCCAGGTCCTGGTGTTCTTGTCCTAATGTGGTGTCTTAGACCGTCTTCATGGGTCCTTGCATATGTGGGGGAGGGGCTTCTACAGCTTGCTTAAGACTTCTCTATGAGATGTACTGAAATATCTTGAGTCTGAAGGTAATCGGATAAAAAGATGACTGTCTTCTATTTTCTTGCCATCTGACCCTTTGGTCGCCTCTTCTGAAGCTTTAATAAAAATTTCTTAGGGGCCCAGGGATTTAGCTTAGTGACACCGTGCCTGCCTCCCAAGTGCAAGGTCCTGAGTTCAATTCCTGGTGCAAAAAAATTTTTTTTTGGTACCAGGGATGGAACTTGGGTCTTTGTACTTGGGAGGCAGGTGGCGGAACCACTGAGCCAAATCCCCAGCAAAATGTTTTGTTTCTCAGGTGTACTGTAGTAAATATATTTTCTAGATTTAACATATACTCATGTCTTTTTTTTTATCATTTCAGGTTACTTTCAGGGGTAAAAAAGCTCTTTATATTTCAATTGATAGATGGGAAGGTGACTGTGAGAAACAATATTATAGTAACTCATTTGACACATGTAAGTTATTTGTATTATTGTAATTTAAAAATTAAATACTAGAGTTTGTATAAATGTGGCAATACAACTTTATAATATTTTACAGTACTAAAATTAAAAATTAACTTCTAAATATATTTAAGATCCAAAAGGCAGAATTATGTTTTGTGTCTTTATAGTACGTAGATAGTTCTTTAATATTGTTTATGGCATGTTTCACTTTAATCTGCATTCTCTGCCTTTTTATTCTTTCATCTTGCATTGGGAAAGCTATGTACTATAAATTTTTTGCCTATAATCTATGTCTGTAAAAACTAGAAGCCACAATTCTATATTGCATAAAAATTAATGCTTGCTTTCCCTTTGGATATGAAACTAAATGTCTGGTATATTGTCTTTGGTTAGACATAGAGCAGTGTGCTGACGGAGGCAGTAGCCTGTGAATGTTCACAGAAGGCTGACTCTCCATAACTGTGGTTTCCTTTTGTCACAGAGCTGCTTACGATCTGTGCTGGAGCAAATAGCGGCCTATGGCCAGGCTGTGTTCCGGCTCCAGGAGTTCATCGATGAGGTCATGGGACACAACTCCGAAAGCCTGATGCCTGGAAACAGCTCCACTCCTAAGAGGTCAGCTGAGGCCCCCTTTAGAACCTACCAGGCTTTCATGTGGGCCCTGTACAAATACTTCATCAGCTTTAAGGAGGAACTTACAGAAATCGAGAAATGCATCATCAATAACGGTATGTAAATGCTCTTTTACTCACAAGACACACAGATCATATTTTGATAGGAGGCTTGAAAATTACATGGCAAATAAGTAATTCTTATGGGTCCATTCATTTTTTTACAGTTCTTTTAAATTTATATTTGTAAGGGCTGGAGATGTAGCTCAGTGGTGCCACACCTGCCTGGCAATTGCAAAGTCTTGAATTACATCCTTGGTACAAAACAAAACACACACACACACACACACACACACACGCTTGTTATGTTGCAGAAAGCTGGGCATGGTGGTATGTGCCTGTAATCCCAGCACTTGGGAGGCTGAAGCAGGATTACTGTGCGTTTAAATTCAAGGCCAGGCTGAACCACATAGCAAGACGCTGTGTCAAACAAATTCAAGAAGTGCTACAGGAGTCACAGTGGAAATTCCTCCTCCTGCCCCAGAGCCCTGGCCAGTGAGTTCCACTCCCCATACGCAGCCAGTGCTTGGCTCCTTGTGCATGCTCAGGAGTCATGGGGACACAGTCAGGCCAAACATGGACAGATGCATGTGCTTGGAGGTTACTGCACTCCTTTCTTCACGTTGTCTTCTCTCTCTCTTTTTTTTTTTTTGCGACAGGGTCTCACTGTGTAGTTGAGACTGACCTGGAACTCACTGTGTAGCCCAGGCTGGTCTTGAACTCACAGCGATCCTCCTGCCTCAGCCTCCTGAGTACTGGGATTATAGGTGTGCGCCACCATGCCCAGTGCTTCATTTAAATTTTGAGAATTCTACCATGCAAGTACACAAAAGCCTCTGTTCCTTCCCCAGGGTTTTTCACTGGACGTCTGTAGGTAGTCATTTCCTTCTTACATTTTCCCATTCTTTTGTTGAAATGATGCCAAGGTACACATTTCAGTCATGGTGTGCGTGTAGCCCGTTAGCTACGGGTCAAGCGCCTTCAGATGGAATTGCTAGGTCACAGAATATGTGATGGTTTATGTGATTTGGCTAGATTTTGCCGCATTGCTCTTCAGCAAGGTGCAGATTAATTCATTTGTACTCTTGGAGGCAAGCAGTGTGTGTGAATACTTTTTTCATATGTTTGCCAGCAGTGTAGCAACTTGTTGATCACCGATATGACAAGGATAAAATGGTGAACTAGTGTATTTTTTACCCTGCTTTTACTCTCAAGTACTGCAAAGAGTAGCACGGAGGTCCTGTGTTGCCATCACCCTGTGTCCCACAGTGGTGCAGCCTGGCACAAGGGCAGTGCAGGACCCGCACTGGGACACTGACTGCACACCTAGCATGGGCTTCACCCACTTCGCTTGCTTTGGGCAGGGGACCTAGCATCTTCATGCAGGTCCATAAACCACTTCCTGTCCGGAGCGAGGAATGATGCCATCACCACACAGGATCTCGCTTGAGCCACTAAGCAGGGGGGCCATGGCAGTGAGGTTTTATTTTACCTTGTGTAATGTTTAATGTGCATTCTTTTATTATAAGTGTGGTTCAGTGTCTCTCTGTATGTTTAAGAATCATTTGTCTGCTGGGGGTGGTGGTGCACGCCTGTAATCCCAGCACTTGGGATGCTGAGGCAGGAGGATCGCTGTGAGTTCAAGACCAGCCTGGGCTACATAGTGAGTTCCAGGTCAGTCTCAACTACAAAGTGAGACCCTGTCTCAAACCGCCCCCCCTCAAAAAATCATTTATCTTAGCCGGGAGTCGTGGTGCACACCTGTAATCCCAGCACTTGGGAGGCTGAAACAGGAGGGTTGCAGTGAGTTTGAGACCAGCCTGGGCTACATAGTGAGTTCCAGGTCAGTCTCAACTACATAGTGATAGTGAGACCCTGTCTCAAAAAACCAAAAAAAAAAAAAAGAATCATTTGTCTTTTCTTTTTGGTGAAATGTCAGTTCTTTTCTGCTGAGTTGTCTTTGTCTCCCCAGCTTGCAAGGTTCTGTCTTCCTTGGGGAAATGAACTCCTTGTAGTGTGAAATTATTATTATTTTTTTTGGTACCAGGGATGGAACTCAGGACCTTGTGCTTTTGAGGCAGGCGGCAGCTCCACTGAGCTAAGTCCCGGCCCTTTAGTAAAATTGAAACCACTCTGAGTCTTGCCATGCCACTTAATGAGCATTGTCTGTATTCATTTCACACTTGGCCTCCGGTGCTTTTCTTTGCTGTTGAGTGTGATGTGTTGCTCACAGATACCACAATAACACTTGCAATAGTGGTGGACAAGCTGTCACCTCGACTGGCTCAGCTCAGTGTTTTGCACAAAGTGTTCAGTACTGGCGTCGCAGAGGTCCCACCTGACACTCGGAACGTCGTGCGGGCGTCTCACCTGCTCAACACCCTGTACAAGGCCATTCTGGAGTATGACAATGTTGGAGAAGCCTCTGAGCAAACTGTAAGTAAGACCCTGCCCGGTCTACTGTGCCCAGTGCAGGAGTGGACTCAGCCTGCCACAGGTGTCTGTTGAGTAGTGCTCAAGTCCTCTAGTGTCAGGCAGTCGTCAAGAGATTTAAAGTTAGCTTCCACAGTCGAGGATGTGGGAAGCTGGCTTCTTATCTGTACTCGCCAAGATACCCAGGAGGGTGTGAAGTGTGCCTACTGAGTTTTATGTGGGTACTTGTCACCCTGTTTTATTTTAAAAACCCACAAGTCTATGATATGACACAGTAATACCTTGGTTCACGAGTGCGTCTGTTCTCGAACAGTTCATTTCACAGACAGAAGCATTTGGCAGAATTTTGCTGCCATTCTTGAATTCAGCATCAGGTGACAAATACGACTGAGACCATCTTCCCTGCATGAACATGAACCTGGCCAGCTTCCCCGAACTGTAGAACGAATTAAGTTAATGAACCGAGGTACCACTGTACTGAAGTAGTCACATTGGGAGAAACAGTAGGAAGGTGACTGACTACTAGGGCAGGGGAACGGGGAGTTGGCTAATGGGTGTACCGTTTCAGTGTTACATCATGAAAACGTTTGGGGCCCTACTTCACACCAGTGTGAATGTGTTCAGTAACATGGAACATACCCATAAATGGTTAAGATGGTACATTTTATGTTAAAAATCTTTAACCAGTTTTTAAGTTAAAAATCTAACTAGAGACTGTTACCTAGTTTGGGCATGTGCTTCCATTAGTTACTGTAACTTTCTTTTTCTCTCACGTTAGTATTGTAGTTCAGTGTAACAGATTGGTTTTCCTCTATGCGGGTTTTCCCCTACTGCATGGATCACTTTGTCATTCATATTCTCATTCATTCATATCCCCCCTGCCCCTGGTGTTTTGAGACAGGGTCTCACTGTGTGGCTGACTTTGAACTCACTGTGTAGCCCAGACTGGCCTTGATCTCTCGGTGATCCTCCTACCTCAACCTCCCAAGAGCTGAGATTACAGGCGGATTACTGGCATGTGCCATCGTGCCTGCCTACTTCTTCATTCTTTTTTTTTTTTACTTTAAAGAAAAAGTGTATTGAAACTCTGAAAAACAACTCCTAAAAGATTGACTTTTCTAGAAAACTGTAGCTATATAATGCATTGTGTTTATCATGTTAAATCTGCATTAACTTCCTCATTTTCTTTTTTTTGGTACCGGGGATCAACCTCAGGTCCTTGCACTTTCCGGGCAGGAGGCCAAACCACTGAGCTAAATCCCTGGCCAACTTCCTCATTCTTAATGGACGTTTGACTTGTGGTCCTGTGGGGACAGCGCAGCCACACCCAGGTTATCCCTGCTGTCCCCATGTGATTTTCACTTTGGGAGGGCCCTAGCATGAGTGGCAAACAGCATAATCATCCCGTCTGTAAACCTTTCGTGAGGATTCTGTCCTGTGTGTTTTAGGGATTTTAATTTCTTTGTTTTTTAAAAAATGGAAAACCAGTTACCTTTTAGTCATTTTCAAATGCTTAGACCTTGTATCTGACTAGTGGCAAGAGCTCTGAGCACTGCCCTAAACAGCGGCCACACTCTGTCTCCAGGTGTCTCTGCTGTTCTCTCTCTGGGTAGAGACGGTGCGGCCCTACCTGCAGACTGTGGACGAGTGGATCGTGCATGGGCACCTGTGGGACAGTGCCAAGGAGTTCATCATACAGAGGTGCGGCCTTACTGAATGCTTTGTCTGTTCCTCCTGCTGCTGGGGCGGGGCAGTTCGAAGGCCACTTGTCCTGTTGCTGCTTTATACAGAGGGTCAGGTACCAGTCATTTAAAAGAATGTGTGAGCCAGGTGTGCTGGTGACACCTACGATCTCAGCACCCTGGGAGGCTAAGGCAGGAGGATCACAAGTCTGAACCCTGCCTGGGCAACTTAGTGACTTATCAAGGCCCTGCCTCAAAAATAAGAAAATAAATAAATTATATAAATTTTTTTTATTAAGTTTGTTGGTACATTTTAGGTATACACTAGTGACATTCATCATTAGGAACTTGTAACTTTACATGATGTATCTCGGCTCTTATTTTTTCCCCCAAAATAAATAAATAATATATATTTTAAAAGGGCTGGGGCCAGGGATTTAGCTCAGTGGTTCCGCCACCTGCCTCGCAAGTGCAAGGTCAAGTTCCGTTCCCAGTACTGGGGACATGTTCAGTTTTATCAGTTCACAGCTTTTCACAGCATACACACCCCCTCAAGCCTTGCACGCACTAGGTGGGCGCTTTGCCATTGAGCAACTTCCCCAGCCCCCGCTTTCTCTTTAGTTTGTTGTTGTTTGGTGGGGTGTGGTTTTGCTTGTTTGGGTTTTTCAGTCTTTTGGTTTTTGTTTTTGGGTTTTTTTGCAACAAAGTCTTACGATGTAGTTGATGCTGACTTTTAGCTGCCTGTGTAGCTAGTTTAGCTGATCTTGATCTTACCATAATCTGCCTCAGGGCTGGGATTACAGGCATGTGCCACCACACCTGGCTGTTTTAAAATTTTGAGACAGGTTTTTCACTAAATTGCCCATGTTGGCCTCAAACTTGTGACCCTCCTGCCTCAGCCTCCAGAGTAGTTTAAGATTACAGCATGAGCCACTGTGCCTAGTGTAAATTATATTTTTGAATGATTTTGAAATGCAGTTGCTTTCCACAAAATAAATCTAGATGATAGCGGATGATCTCATACATTCCCAAGGGAAATTATCAGTAAGATTAAAGATATGAAAATATTACAGGATATGCTTCTAATATGTTTATTTCTTGCAATAAACTAATTTTTATCTCCAGCATAATGTTTAATAAAGCAAGGGAATCTTAAGCCATTTCTGATGATTCACCTTCAGTCAGTTTTCCTGTGTAGAATCATATAAATGCAGTCCACAGTTACTTGCACTCTTAACTCAGTTTTCAGGTGCATAGCCTGTGTCGTTCCCACTGGTGAGTCCCCCAAACTCACTGCGAGAGCCCCGGTGTCCGCAGAGCCTGGAAAGGCAGCACGGGCTACACTGGGTACCTGTGTGGACTGGCCTTCCTCCAATTGGGTCTGTTTTACGATTGAGCCCTGGCCTTCACACAGCTACATCCCGGATTCTTGATTGATTGATTGACTATTAATTTATTCATTTGTGATACAGGACTTGCTGAGTTGTCCTTGCTGGGTGTGAACTTGTGTTCCTTCTGCCTCAGCCTCCCAGAGAGCTAGCATCACAGGTTTACGCTACCACGCTCAGCTCAACTAGTCTTACTCCTGTCTTAGCACTCTGAGGTGAGAAGTTTTGGAAGTGTACAGTGTTCTGACTGCTGAGGTGATGTGCACCTAGGTTTCCTTGTGAAAGCAGGCCAGGTGGGGACCCACGAGGGCTCAGGGCAGGGCTCATGCTTGGCACATGCAAGGCCTGCATCCAGTGGCCAGGACCAAAAGGAGGAAGGTAGAGAAGTCTGGAATCGCTTTCACAGCAGACAGTGAGTGGGGAAACCTCCATTCGCTTTCTAGAGGGTCAGATTAGTCATTCTGTTTAGTTGAGGAAACCCATTTCCACGTAACCATTGCCTGTGGACCTCAGAGTTCATTTGCTGCTGTCTGTTACATGGCGCTCAGTACCCGCGTTGCCTGACTGCTTCATCTTACACGCAGCTGATTTTATAGATTTTTGCATTATGTGCGTAGCATTCTTAAGAGGACAAGGCACACTGCTAGGTTTTGGTTTTTTTTTTGTACTGGGGATTGAACTTGGGCCTTTGCGCTTACGAGGCAGGCGGTGGCACCACTGAGCTAAATTCCCACACACTGCTCTTTTGTTTTGTTTTGTTTTGTTTTTTGGGTTTTTTTGAGACAGGGTCTCACTATGTAGTTGAGCCTGACCTGGAACTCACTCTGTAGCCCAGGCTGGTCTCTAACTCCGAGGGATCCTCCTGCCTCTGCCTCCTGAGTGCTGGGATTACAGGCGTGTGTCACCACGCCCAGCTTCACACTGTTGTTTTTAATGAAGATAAACTAAAGTTTAAAATTCTTCCAAAAATCCTGTTACAGGGATACACAATTCATAATAGCTCAGTCTTGGACACAGTATGCAAGTCCATCAGCACATCAGTGGGTAAGGAAAATGTAGCATTTATATGCAATGGAGAACTGTACTGCCATAAAGATAAATCTGTGTCTGTAGATAAATGGATGTAGCTTGAGAACATAATGTTCAGTGAAATAAGTCAGACACGCAAATTCAAATGTTGCATGGTTTCTCTTGTATGATAAACAATACATGCACACAAATTAAGAGCAAAATAGAATAGAGATAAAAAGTAGGGATAAGTTCAAATACTTACCAAAATACATATTCCCTTGCTTAAAAAAATATTTCACTATGTATGCTGACTTGTTTTATACTAAAAGCTTATCTTAGTTCTTTGAAAAGAAAGTTTGTGGTTTTTTTGTTTTTTTTGGTACCAGGGATCGAACTTGGGACCTTGCACTTGAAGCAGGCAGTTGTCTGTAGATAAATGGATGTAGCTTGAGAACATAATGTTCAGTGAAATAAGTCAGACACGCAAATTCAAATGTTGCATGGTTTCTCTTGTATGATAAACAATACATGCACACAAATTAAGAGCAAAATAGAATAGAGATAAAAAGTAGGGATAAGTTCAAATACTTACCAAAATACATATTCCCTTGCTTAAAAAAATATTTCACTATGTATGCTGACTTGTTTTATACTAAAAGCTTATCTTAGTTCTTTGAAAAGAAAGTTTGTGGTTTTTTTGTTTTTTTTGGTACCAGGGATCGAACTTGGGACCTTGCACTTGTGAAGCAGGCAGCAGAACCACTGAGCTAAATCCCTGGCCCTTGTTTGTGTTTTCTGTAAGAATCTTTATGGCTTGTACAGAGTAACTACTGTCCTTTGAAGATGATGCACAGTGTGATTTGATAACTATTACCAAGGTAATACCTTGGCTCATGAATGCTTCTGTTTGCAAACAATTTGATGCTTGAACAAAGGTGTTTAACAACATTTTGCTCCCTTTATGACCTCCACATGAGCTGCTGCAGCCCTCTCCCCCAAAATCATAAACTGAGTTCATGAACTGAGATACCACTGTATGAAAATGTTTTACTTTTTCATAAATTAGAAAGAAAAAAGTTCTTCTGAATCTCCACAGAAATAAAAATGTTCCAGTCAATCACCGAGACTTCTGGTATGCAACTTACACCTTATATAGCGTATCGGAAAAAACAGAAAATGAAGAAAAGATGAGCGACAACACCAGCGCGAGCTCGGGCAGCGAGCAGGGCCCCTCCAGCAGGCAGCACACCATGGTGTCCTTCCTCAAGCCGGTGCTAAAGCAGATCATCATGGCGGGCAAGTCCATGCAGCTGCTGAAGAACCTTCGCTGTGCGCAGAGCACCGAGAGCCGGGGCGCTGCCCGAGGTAGCCAGCCCTGCCCTTCATCACCTTGTGGTTCCCCAGTCACCAGAGCCTTTTGTCTTCATCAGATGATCACCAGGAATGCATGGGCGCTCTTGCTGCTTGATTGGAAGTGCCCAGCACGGTGGATGGAGAGGCAGTGACAGGAAGCTCCCGCTGCCTGTTTCCTACCCCAGCCCCTCAGGCAGCGGTAGCTGCCGTTCCCTAACACAGTACAGCACCAGGGGGTTAGCTGGTGAACTCATCAAACTCGAGCATAGGGCACAAGAAAATCTCGATGTAATATTCGCTCTTTTTTGATGCAGTTTAATTTATTTAAAGGTTTATCATCTGGCTAGAAAGTCTTGAAAGGCATAGATGTGACCTTATTTCTTTGGCTTGTAAGTCACCCCTGTTTTATTAATTATTTCACGTTGTTGTATCTACTTTGAATAATATTTTACTTTGTTGAATATTTCCTTTTTGACTGGATAATAAATTATAATGAGCTGGGTGTGATGGTGCATGCTTGTAATCTCAGCACTTGGGAGGCTGAGGCAAGAGGATCATTGTGAGTTTGAGGCCAGCCTGAGCTAGGTAGTGAATTCAAGGCTAGCCTGAACTACATGGTGAGACCTTGTGTCAAAAAAACCCAAACAAAATAAATTAATGAGCATTCCAGGGCAGTGTTGGCCATGTTTTGCCCAATGAAATTTGATCTCTATATGTCTTATCATGGTTTTATTTTATTTATTTATTTATTTATTTATTTATGGTACCAGGGATCAAACTTGGGTCCTAGTTCTTGGGAGGCAGGCGCCAGAACCCCTGAGCTAAATCCCCGGCCCTTATGGTTTTATACACTGCAGTAATAACTTTCAAGTGTCCTACTTTAGATATAACTTATTCCAAATAAAATTAGCATCTCGTGATATTTAACTGTGAACTTTTCTTTCACAGAAAATATAAAATTTTTAGTGTTGTTGTATTATAAAGGTAAAAGAAATGGACTGCCTTTCTAGACGAAACAAAAGAATAACAAGCTGTGTTCATATAAAACTACTCGGTATTTGTTAATACTCCTTATGAGAACACATTTCCTCACACATTTCTGTCTGTTTCAGACGCAGAAAGGAAAAGCTTGTACACGCTCTTTCTGGAGTCTGTGCAGTCGCGTCTCCGCTGTGGAGAGGGTGCTGCTCCGCAGGCCCTCACTGAGCAGCGGGCAACCAAAGAGAACCTGATTAAGATGCAGCCCATCGCGGAAAGGCACCTTGAACTGGACGACATTCATGACCCGCTGCTGGCCATTAACTTCGCGAGGTGATACACACCTGCAAGATTTTCGGTGGTTGAAATGCAGCATCTGTGCAGTATTTAGTAACTTGTTTATTTTGCCAGGTAGGGCTTTGCAGCCTTAAGAACAGAGATCTTGTAGCCTGTCCTTTCTGAGGACCAGAGTCCAAGAAGACATCGTGTTCTCCTAGCAGATGTAGTTTACCCTCCTCTGTGTGCAGACGTGTGTGGGCTCGTCTCTGTGCCCTCAGGCTTCTGGGACAGCTGTGGCTCCCCAGAATGTGCTTGCAAAAGCCTGGGCACAGGCTGGGCATGAGTTGCATCTTTTGGCTTAGGGCATTGATGTCCCTGTGCTGCCATGTTGTCTAATGCTGGCATTTGCTGTGCAGTTCAGTAGAAGGACCCTAAAAGCAGCGACTCTGAAAGAATGTTCTGGGAAGGAATGTTCCCTCTTTGTAGTAAGTGGTAATAAAAATGGAACTTGGTTCCATGGCCTGCCTTGGAAGTGCAAGGTCCCAGGTTCAATCCCCGGTACCAAAAACCAAAAATGGGACTTGGGAGTTTGATTTAAGAGAATTGTGTTCACAACATTTTGTTAAATAGACGGCTCACATTTTTGTTGCGAAGGTTATATTTGGAGCAGAGCGACTTTCACGAGAAGTTTGCTGGTGGTGACATATGTGTGGATAGATCATCAGAGTCAGTAACGTGCCAGACTTTCGAGCTAACCCTGAGGTCTTGCCTCTATCCGCACATTGACAAACAGTATCTGGACTGCTGTGGGAATCTCATGCAGACCCTCAAAAGGGATTACAGGTGAGAGGAGTAACTTTATTTTAGGAGTAATCTGTAAGTACTCTTACTTCAAGAACATTTGGATGGTCTTTTTTTTTTCCCCCTTCTTTTTGGTGCTGGGAAGAGTCTGATTCCTTACAAAAAATTCCTTTAAAACATGTATCTCTTAGAAGGGGTGGTTTGTTTGTTTAATTAGACAGGGTCTTACTGTGTAGTTCAGGCTGACCTTGAACTCAAGCCTGTATTTCAAGTTAGTTTTTTATTAAAGTGAGTATATTAGTCCCTCCCCATTGCTGGAACAAAATACCTGACAGCTACACCTGTAAGGAAGAGAGGTTGGTTTGGCTTATGCTTTCAGTCCTTGGTCAGCTGGCTCCAAGCAGAACTGGCACTGCAGACGGACACAGAGAGCTGTTCACAGTGGGGCAGACAGGAAGCTGAGTGAAGAGAGGGCTGTCCAGGAGCACACCCTTCCAGGCACCCCAGTGGCCGCCTCTGGGCAGGCCCCACCTCCTGGCCGCATGGCCAGCACTGGCCTCAGGGTGGGTTGTGAGCACAGCAGCATGATGCAGACCCTTCCAAACTCAGGAGACTTGGGGCATTTTAGATCTGAACCGTAACGGGAGTGGATGTGTAGTAAACAACCTTCTTTTAAGAGGCTGAAATAACCATCAATATTTTCTTAACTATGCTGTGAAATCCAGTTCTTTATTCTAAGACTGTCTTAAAACGTGTATGGGAATATCCATCACAAAGTTTGCTATCAGAATGGCAAACATAAAGTTACCTGGTAACAGATAATGAGTGCTTCAAAGTGTGGCCTATCCACATCCATGTGTGAATTTCATAATGTTCAGAGAAATTAGGTTTCTTCAGTTTCAAGTTGTGTAAACTGTCCTTATAGCTTAAAAAGTAATGTGTATAATACAGTAGAAACTAAAACTTTTTTAAATGCTTGGAGAAAAAGACTAGAACTAAAAATTCCAAATGTTAACACTAGAAATTCCCTCTGGTTGGTGAGATACAGATCAATTTTTGTTTGATTTATTTCTGTGACTTTGCCCAGTTTTCTATAGTATTATAAGAATGTAACATTTCTTTTTGGTTATTAAAGGAAAAACACTGGTTTTGTTTTTGTTTTTGTTTGTTTGTTTGCTTGTTTTGTTTCGGAGCTCGAACTCAGGACCTTGCACTTGAGAGGCAGGTGGCAGAGCCACTGAGCTAAATCCCCAGCCCCTACACACTGTTTTTATTATTGAGGAAAAAAAGTCTTCAAGAGGCCTCACTGTGTCTGAGTGTAGGAAGTGTAGGCTGGAGCTGTGTCGCTGGGATGGCAGTGTAGCAGCCGCGCCAGCCCAGAGCCCGCCTTCTCAGCCCGGCCGCTAACCTCTCTCCTCGCAGGTTGCTAGAGTACTTGCAGGCCATGAGAAATTTTTTCCTAATGGAAGGTGGAGATACCATGTATGACTTCTACACATCAATCTTTGATAAAATAAGAGAGAAGGAACCCTGGCAGAATGTGTCTCTTCTTAACGTCCAGCTCCAGGAAGCCGTAGGACAGCGTTATCCTGAAGACAGTTCACGGTAGAGTATGGGAGGCACCTTTTAAGTGATTTAAGTAAATCATGCGCCAAGACGTCTTCTGTGAGTTTTGATGTTTATTTTATCCTTTCATTAGCCCTCTGAGTTCTACGAATTATTTTACAAATTGGACAAACACTGGCCTGGTGGCATGCATGGCCACCCTCCCTCCTACTTGAGAGTTTGAGACAGGAGGATTGGTTGAGCCCAGGAATTGGGGGCCAACCTGGGCAATATAGTAAGACCCATTTCTGTCTCAAAAGAAAAAGAGAAAAGAAAAAAAATGAAAAGGGAGGGAGGGAGGGAGAGTGAAAGAATGAATGGAGGCAGCAGGTAGAGAGGTGACCCGGCCGCTGGGTGGAAGAAGACAGGCGGGTGGTCTGTCCGGCCTGTCGGCGTCTGGCCCCTCTCCTGCCTGCGGTCCGCACCCCTCTGTCCAGCTGTGCTGTGCCTCAGGGGTCCCCTGGCCGCCCGCATCCCTGCCGCGGTCCCCCCCACGACTCAGAGCAGCCTGCCCCCTCTCGGGCAGCCCCTGCCAGGCTCCTCACGGCAAGGCCATGCTGCGTCTCACAAGGGCAGGCGCCCTCTCACTGTACTTCCCGGCCTCATGTCCGGCGTGCGGCCTGCTTGCCGTGTTCTCCCTGCTGTCCTGACCTAGGAGTTGGGAAATACCCCGGGCTTCCCCGTGGTGCCCTCCCCTCTGCTCCTGGCGCACTGTCCCGCTCTCTCAGTGTGGCCCTGTCTGCTGTGGCTCCACACTAGCCGGAGTTGGAGGAGGACAGGTCGGCTGTCACCTGCTTAGTGGGGCACCTGGCAGAATACGCAGGAGGTGCCTGCCACACGCTGGTGAGCGCTGCAGTGACAGGCTGAAGAGGTGGAGCCATCTGACTGCTGCCTGTGCCGTGGAATGAGTCAAGTTGGCTAATTCATGATCACACGCGGAGAGGCTGCCTGTGCCTCTCTGGTTCTCGGGTAAACTCCACTTTTGTTCCTTCTGCAGTGTGTCCAGGTATTAACCTGTGTGTATGTCGTGCATGCTGGGCCAGGGCTCTGCCCCTGAGCTGTGCACAATCCCAACCCAGTTCTTTTTAATATTTATCTTGAGACAGGGTCTCAATGAGTTGCCTAGGTTGACCTCAAACTGGTGATCCTCCTGCCTCGGCCTAGCAGGTAGCCAGGGTCACAGGTATGTCCACACATCAGTCACAAGTAACATCTTCTGGTACCTGGGTAACCATGGAGAGTGACAGCCTTTCTGAACGCAGGCGGGGCTGTTGTGATTACAGGAGATAGGAGCTCTTGTGTGCCTCACACTTGGTCAGTTAGATCCATGTCCCATGTGATCGCTGCCTCTGTGGGCATTGTGCTCCAGCCTGTCTCCGGGATGCGTGATAAAGGCTGACAGCACCTTGTGGCAGGAGCAGCCTGTCCCCTCGAGCTGGCCGTGGAAGTGGCTCTGCTTGCTGCATGGCGGGCTCACTCAGGAGCCACTCTTCCATCCTCCCTGATTGGAACCTGCTCAAGGGCCCTATCTTTGCCTAGATTTTACCAGAATTAAGCTCCCAGCCTGTTCCCTAACTTTACCTTTTTTTCTAGTTAACTCATTACCGTGTCTTTTATTTAACCCAATTATTTAAAAACTTTGTCCCTCTTATTTGCTCTCTTTTGTGTATGTGTAGGTTTTGTGGGTTTTGTTTATTTGTTTTTTGGTACTGGGGATGAAAGTCCAGCCCTTGCAGGCAGTAGAACCACTGAGCCAATCCCCGGTCCTGTTTTGTTTTTCTTTCTTTTGAGACGGGGGTCTCACTCTGTAGTGGAGGCTGGCCTTGAACTCAATATGCAGCCCAGGCCAATCTCAAACTCTCAGGGATCCTCTTGCTTCAGCCTCCTGAGTACTAGAACTACGGGAGTATGCCGCCATACCCAGCCCTCTTCCTTTTTTTTGCAAATAGAATAGCTACCTCTGCTTTTTTCCAGGTTCTTGTCACATGGAGTATTGTTTTCCACCCTTTGACTTTCAGTGTATGAATTTCTTTTTAAGTTTAATATGTTTCTTGTGTGCAGCATATTGTTGGATCTTGATCCATTCTGCCCGTCTGTTTGTTTTGAGTGGTGAATTGAGACCATTTGTGCTGATGGTTATAACTGATATGTATTAACTGTCATGTCATTTTCCTGTTGTTGGCTCCCTTCTTTCCTGTTCTTCCTTATTTCTAAACCAAAATCCTGTTCTGGGATATATGCTGTAAAACACATTTGTTAGCATATCTGCATTTTATGAAATACAGTATTTTTTGTAAATTTAAAATGTGATTCTTTTCATTGAGTTTATTGGTACATTTTAGGTACACAGCAGTTACTGTCATTGTTGGGATTTTGTACCTTTACCTGAGCGAATTGTTTTTTAAGAGTACATCTTATGTGAACATAGTACTGTCATAAACTAAAGCTGAAATTTCTTCGTTTAGTTTATCTATATCTTTTGAGAATGTTGACATGGCTAAGAAGAAACTACCTGTTCATACCTTAGATGGTCTGACCCTGAGCTACAAGGTAGGTAGTCGTGTTCTTTTACAAATGCTGTTTGCTATTAAAACTAAGATATGCAAGTAATTGGTGACTGTCTGTTCTAATTTTGTTTTGTTTTCATAGGTCCCGTGGCCTGTGGACATTGTTATAAGTTTGGAATGTCAAAAAATTTATAACCAGGTGTTCCTTCTCCTTTTGCAAATAAAATGGGCAAAATATAGTCTGGATGTTTTACTATTTGGTGGTAAGATTTATTTTCAATGGATAAATTATATTTTAACTTTTGCCCTAAAAAAAGCTTGGTGGTTTTGGTCATTTTTTTATTCCTAAACAAATGCCAAGTGTGTATTTACAACAGTAGTTGTACAGACCTCCAGTGTCTGAATGAAATAGCAAGAAGTTGACGTAGAGTCAGCCTGAAATACAGAACATACCAGGAATTTAGCCTACGCAGTTGTTTTCTTAGCTTATGCAAAATCCTTAATGAGAAGCAACTGGGACCTTATGACAGGACAGCAGGTGGCCCAGGGCGCCTCTGTTTGACCCCATCTTCCTGCGGGCTGTCAGGTGCTCCCTGATGCGGACCCCGCTGCCTCCACTCGGCCCGCCTTGTTCCCTCTGTGCTCTGGAGTGTGGGGGTAAAATCAGTGTGCTCTGCACCTGTGCTGCTCTTTCACTCTTGTAGAACTGGCTGATGCTGAGAAAGGGAAGCCTGAAAAGGACCTCTTGTGTGAACAAGATGCAGCTGCTCGGTTTGGACCTCAGAGGGCGCCAGTGAGGCAGCAGGTCCATCGCCTGTTCCTCCTCAGAGTGAAGCTCATGCATTTTGTGAACAGTTTACACAACTACATCATGACACGGGTTGGTGACACTGTAGATAGCTGTGTGTGGGAAATCACTCAGTGCGTTTACAGTGCAGCGTCGTGGCACACCTTTAATCCCTGCACTCGGGAGGCTGAGGCAGGACTATCGCTGTGAGTTTGAAGCCAGCCTGAGCAACATAGCAATCCTATCTCAAAAAACTTGAAAAATTGGGGCTGGGGATTTAGCTCAGTGGTACCGTGCCTGCCTCCTAAGTGCAGGTCTTGAGTTCAGTCTCTGGAACCTAAACAAAAAACAAAAAAAAATATAAATATAATTCATAAAGAGGAGCCACAAAGGCCTAACCATTGGTAGCAGTCCTTAACCCTAAATTCACTGGGATTATTTGTATCATCAAAGGGAGAGTTGTCTTTACAACAAATTAACCTGATAATTAACTCAGTGCACTTCTTATGCAGTTTGACAAACTTGCCCCTTCCTGCCAAGAAGCCTGTTAGTCCGCGGGCGGGCATTCTCTTAGTGTACAGATAGATGCCCTGCGACCACATCAGGGCCCGACGCAGGCCATCCGGTCCCCGGTAGAGGAGGGTGTGCTTCCTTCAGGGGGCAGTGGAGAGGGCCAGAGCAGGTGGTTCCGGGCAGTTGTGAGTGCATCACACAAGCCCTCAAAAGAAATCGCGTACTCGTTAAGCTTTTGTCTTCTTCTTCCAAGATTCTTCACAGTACTGGGCTGGAGTTTCAGCATCAAGTGGAAGAAGCCAAGGATTTGGATCAGTTGATTAAAATTCACTATAGGTACTTGTCGACCATCCATGACCGCTGTCTGCTGAGAGAAAAGGTACATGTGACGTTGCTCGGTCTCCGGTGGGGCAGGGGCCCGGCCGTGTGGCCATCTCTGCCCTGTGATTATTAGGACTCTGCTCTTGGGAAGGACCGGGCCTCTGAGGCTGTGCGCGTGCCCGATTACTAGGAATGACATCTAGGAAAAACGTGGCAGCCATGTTGCTGCAGCTGGCGCTCACCGTACCCCGAACGCTTGGATTGAGTTAGGAAGTTGGTCTGCACTGTGGGCCAGTGCACGTGCAGCCGAGCGTGAGTCGAGGGACCGGACGGTCACAGCTGTATGGAACTGGCGGCCCTACATGGTCACCCCCGGATGGCAGTTAGGCTGCCGGTCCCGGACTGCTGGTCCTGCAGGTACCGTGCTCGGCTGGTGCAGGGCCTGTCCCGAGTGGGCTCGGTGTAGAGCCCAGTGCCCTTCCTTACACTTGGGAGGCAGTCACTGCCTGTTGAGCTTTTTCTGTGCGAGTTCATTAAATTAGGGGAAAGGCTTGGCGTCCGCATCCAGTTACGGAGCCCGTGCTTTGTTTCCCAGGTCAGCTTTGTGAAAGAAGCCATCATGAAGGTGTTGAACCTGGCCCTCATGTTTGCGGACGGCTGGCAGGCCAGCCTGGGGGCTTGGCAGTGAGTATCTCCCCTGTGAGCTCCGTTGTGCTGACCTTTCAGCGGCCTCTGACTGGCTTCCTCCAGGAAGTCTCCTTTCTTCCTGGCAGCACGTCACATTATAATTAAGAATTTAAAATTTGGGGCCCAGGATTTAGCTCCGTGGCACTGCACCTTTGTTGTAAATGTGAGATCTGAGTGCAATCCCTGGTACCCCCCAAAAAGATTTAAAATTTAGATTTGGGAGATGGGATTATAGCTCAGTGGCAGAGCACTTGTCTGCTGTGCACAAGGCCCTGGGTTTGACATTCCAAACCACAAATGAAGAGAATCAAGTTTTTTCACCAAAGCCAGGCAGCAATAAGAATCATACATTCTTTTTTTTAACTTTATTTTTTTATTGGTACATATTTGTTATATATATTGGTCATATTCATCATAGGGAACTTGTACAATTCTTTTAAGAGGGGTAGAACAGTAAAAAAATCCAGTGTTTTAATTAGAGGAGTAGATTATATTCTTATTTTCTTAAATTTCTGTTACATACATCTTCAAATATGCACAGAAGTGGAGAGAGCAGAATAAGAAGTATGTGTGCCCCGCACTGCCTCGGTACTTTCCTGTGATTACCAGTTCTGTGTTGTGTTCTCCTCTGACTCACACAAACTTCCAAACCACTTCAAAGTCGATTGTGTCCCTGCGGGAGGCTGAGGTAGGAGGATTACATATTTAAGCCCAGCCTGGGCAACTTAGCAACTCACTGTGACCCTGTTATGAAATAAAAGCCCTAGGTTTGATCCCTAGACCCACCAAATAAAAAACAGCAAATTCTGGACATCATACTAGATAATAGTCCAGAGTTGTATTTTGTATGAGCTCTGAAAGCTACTGTGTGTTGTACTTCTGCCCCACAGAAGGGCAGGTGCCCCGTGGGCACTGAACAGTTGAGGACCCAGGAGCTCTTTCTCTTGACCTGGCAAGATCAGCCTCTGCCATCTTCATTTTGTTTTGTTTTTCTTTTTGGTGCCAGGCTTCAGCCTTTTTTTTTCGCCCTTTGGTATCGGGGATCGAACTTAGGACCTGGTACTTGTGAGGAAGGCGGCAGCACTCCTAAGCTAAATCCCCGACTTGGTGCTGGGCTTCAAACCCAGGGCTTCATACATCCTAGGCACAGCTGTGCCACTGAGCTATGTGCCCAGACCCACTGTCTTCTGCTAGGAACTTGAATATATTGTCCGGGATTTAGTCCCAGTCTTATTTATAAAACGAATGCAATGCTAATTCTGCTGTTACTTCCCGAAATAAACGAGCACGTCTGGCTGACTGGGTTTTCCGTAACGAGAACCTGTGCCTCAGCCTGTGTCAGTGAAGAGGTGAGGGCTCACTGTCGTGCTGGTGTCACTCAAAACCTAAGGTCGATCAAGTTCTTAACTGCAGGGGTGAGACTGAAGTCTCGCTTTGTCATTGCCGCCCTCTCAAAGTGTGTAAACACACTTCCTCTTCTCGTGTCTCTGTGGAGGGGAGGAAAAACTCACTGCTGCGTGTGGTTTGCTGAGCTTGAACTCTTTTGGTTTCCTCAGCAACTTAGGAGGGAAAAGTAGGGATGAAGGGGCCTTCAAAGGCATATCCGCCATCCTAGCTGGTGGAAGTTACCTAGTCCCGGGCCAGACTTGCAGCAGGAACGTGAAATTTGCTGAGTGCCTACTGATTATTAAGATGTTTCTAAGTAGTAGTGCTGTGGCTGTATTCTGACAGAAATACCATCATTTCAAGTATACATTTATGAAGTACTTAAGACTGAAATGCTTTGATGTCTCAGCTTTTCTTGTAGCCCCGTTAGGCTGAGAAGGTCCATGCAGGATGGATGCCTCCAAAGCTGGTGTGGGTGCACAGACATCCCTGTGTAGTTCCCTCTTGTGTATGTTGGATGTTTCCATTTTAAAATTTATTCCCCAGCCCTGTGGCACAAAGACTGTAAGTCCAAGCCCAGCCTAAGACTTTGCAAGACCCTGTTTCAAAAAGAATAAGGGCTGGGGATGTAGCTCAGTGGTGCCTCACCTGCCTTGCAAATGCGAGGTCCTGAGTTCGGTGGCAGGAAGGAGGCAGTTGCCTGGACCCTTTCTGAGCAGTTCTCTCACTTTGGGTGTAGAGCGCTATCTTGGATCATGTGACATGACCAAAATAAATAACAGGGCTGGGATTTAGCTCAGTGGTTCTGCCTCCTTCACAAGTACAAAGTCCCAAGTTTGATCCCCAGTACCAAAAGAAAATAAAAACATAAAAATAAAAAAATAATAAAAGGGCTGGGGTTTTAGCTCAGTACAGAAGCCCTGAGTTCAATCCCCAGTGCCACCAAAAAATAAATTAAAAAACACACACTGCTAAGCCAAACTACTTGGGAGGCTGAGGCGGGAAGATTGCAAGTTTGAGGCCAGCCTGGGCAACTTAGTGAGACCTTATCTAAACATTTAAAAAATGATGCCTGCCTCGTAAGCAGAAAGACCCGAGTTCAATCCCTGGTACCAAAAAAAAAAATGTTTCAAGGGCTGCGAATGTATAGTGCCCCTGGGTTCAGTCCTTAATGCCACATACACAGAGACAATAAAAGCTTTTTTCTTTTCTTTTTTTTTTTGGTACTGGGGATCGAACTCGGGTTCTTGTGCTTGCAAGGCTGGCAGCAAAACCACTGAGCTAAATCCCGGGCCCAATTAAAACCTTTCTTATAATTTTAAATTTAAGGACTTTATATTCTTAATGTAAATGTAAAGTTCTTTATTTCAGAGAATATTAAAAAAAAAAATACACCCAGGCATGGTGGCACACACCTGTAATCCCAGCATTCAGGAGGCGGAGGCAGGAGGATTGCCACCAGTTTGAGGCCAGCCTGAGCTACAAAACAAGACCCTATTTCAAAAAAACAAAAATAAATAACTAAATAAAAATACTGAATTGTGTAAGGGAAAAAAGGAATAGTTCCAGAAGTAAATACTGTCTGAAAAAAGCATAATTTTATATCTTGCTAGACCTTTTATCTCAAAGCAGGATATTTTATATATTTGTTTTGTAATTTTCAGATTTAGGATTTTTATTTATTTATTTATTTATTTATTTGGTGCCAGGGATTGAACTCAGGACCTTGTACTTGTGAGGCAGGCAGCGGAACCACTGAGCTAAATCCCCGGCCCCAGATTTAGGATTTTAAATAATTATACAGCACATTTGAAATTGCTTCAAAGATGTTTTGTTGCCAATCTTTTAGCCCATGTGCACTTAAGTAACTTGGAATTTGCTTTCTTTCCTAGGATGGAATCTATAGAGAAAATGGAGTCTGACTTTAAGAATTGCCACATGTTTCTTGTAACAATTTTAAACAAAGCTGTCTGCAGAGGGTCTTTCCCCCATCGTGAGTATGTCTGGTTGTGGTGTTGCTAAGTCTGTGTGTCACTGTCTCATTGATCACATATAAAATTTAAATTTCTCAGCATTTTCAAACTGAAAAGTCTCTCAGCAGTTGTGTGCAGGGAGGTGAGTGATTATAAAATACAAATCACTAGGACTAAAGATCTTGCTTACTTGGTACCATTTGTTACACCAGTGACTTTCTAACCCTTAAAGAGAGCAGCTGGCAGAGGAGAACGTCACTCTGCCATTGTAACTGTTTCTCTCCAAAAGGTGGGATTTCTTAAAACCAACTTTAAAACCCCAGATCCGCTTCTTACCCAACGTGACGTGCTCTTGTGTGGTCAGAGCAGTGTGGACAGAGAGCTCCGGGTGAGTCCTGGGAAGAGGTGCTGCTGCCCTGCAGAAGTGACCTCTCTACCCGTGTTTTGGCCACTCTCCCCACTTTCCGCACATTTGTGTGGTAAACGCTTACTGTGGCCAGTGGTTTAAAATGCACCACATTCTCACCATGCAGGGGAGACAGCAATGCGTCCTGAGTGCTCTGGGGAGGCTGTGCCTGTGGACGCGCCCCCCGGCAGTTGGAGTTCAGCTCAAAGCGTCTATAGGGCTGGATCCAGATTTCATGATGTGTGATCCATTCAGTAAAATAGCTAGAATTTTTGTTTTCAAAATTAAAACCAACTGGGCCAAGGATTTAACTCAGAGGTTCCGCCACCTGCCTCATAAGCACAAGGACCGGAGTTCAATCCCTGGTAAAAAAAAAAAAAAAAAGAAATTAAAACTATCTGAAATAGAAATAAATCACACTGATGTTTTCTGTTTATATTTAGCAAGTGCAGATGGTCATCTTTATTATACATTTAAAATACCTGTAATTAATTAAATATAGGGCACATGTTAACTACTTTGCAGTTTTGAATTTATTACAGCCACATGCATGCATTTTAACACCCTTAAACCTGTTTCTTTCAACTTCATGTTTTTTCTCTCCCCACAGTGGAATCTCTGGCGCTGTCACTCATGGCTGGTATGGAACAAAATTAAATAGCTGCAGCGTGACATACCTGAAACTTCCATCTTTCACACACGAGCAGTTCTAGCATATGCAGCTGAAGAGGAGGAGAATCTTTTATTTTGGTTCATTTTTAAAACTTGTTAACAGACAAATAGTCTGTGTTTTCTCTGGAAAGTATACAGTTGTGTAAATAAGATTGTGTAAATAATGTAAAGTGTACATAGGCTGTTTACTCTTATATTTCCTGCTGTAAGCTATAGATTTATGATATCACTACCCTTAAATACAAATTATATTCCTTTAGAAAATTAATTATTGATATTAAAAATAAGTCCTTTGTCTCTTTTTGTGTTTTGAGACAGGATCTCACTATGCATTTCAGACTGGCCTTGAACTCACTAGTTAGCCTAGGCTGGCCTTGACCTCTCAGTGATCCTCCTGCCTCGGCCTCCTGAATGCTGGGATTATACCGGTGCACCACCATGCCCAGTTTGGGTAGGAGTTGAAGACGAGAAACTGATAAAGGCCAGGAAACAAGCTTTCCTAGAGCAGTCCTGCCGACAGGGCATGTTACCCAGCAGGGTTTGATCTGGAACTCAGAACTGTAGCGTAATAAACTTGTGTCATTTTCAGCCACAGTGTGTGTTTCCACAGCCACTTTAACACATTGCCACAAATTTGGTGTCCCTAACACAACAGAAATTTATTCTGTCAAGGTTCTGGCAGCCAGAAGGCCAGAATTCAAGGTGTCAGGAGGGTGGTGGTCCCAGCGGAAGCTCTACGGGAGTCTGTTCTTGCCCTTCCAGTCTTTGGTGGCCCCTGCTTCCTGTGCCATGTGGGCCTGTGTCTGCACCACTTCTCGCTGTCTCGTGAGGACACTGCTCTCTGATTAGGGCCTACTTGGGTAATCGAGGGTGATCCATCACAGGACTTCATTCTATCGGCAAAGGCTGGTATTTTTCCAAATACGAGTACTGGCTTAGCCTGTTCTCAGCAAGGGCTGAGAAGCAGCAGACATTTACCTCTTACAGGTCGGAGGCTGGTAAACCCAAGGTCAAGACAGTAGCAGCTTTGGAGCCTGCTGCTTCCTGGTTCAGGGATTACGTCCCTGCATCTCACAGGAAATGAGGGGCCAAGCAGCTCTCTGGGTTGGTTTCTTTCAGTAAGTCACTAGTCCCACTCGTGAGTGCTCTAGCCAGGGCCTTACTGCCTCCTAAAAGCCCATGCTTCCTAGAACTACCACCTTGGTGATTCGATTCCAGGACATGGCTGCCTCGCCAGCCCCCACAGTTCACAGGCCGATTCCATGCAGGAACTCTTTTTTTTTTTTTTTTT